TGCAGAGGTTGGTTACCAAAGGCTGGGCAGAGTAGGGGAGAAGGAAGGGTGAGTAAAGGTTGATTGATGGATACTAAGTTACAGTTGGAGAGGAATAATAAGTTCTGGTGTGCTGATGCATAGTGGAGAGAATACAGTTATAATAATGTATTAGAGGGATTGTGAATGTTTTCTCCCTAAAGAAATAATACAAGAAAAGACAGACAAGTTTAACCTGATTTAAACATGTATAGAAATACTACATGGTACTTTGTAAATATGCACAATTTTAATGTTTTTAGGTATTAGTTAAAGATAAATATAGTTTAAAAAATTACAGTGAATCTGCCTCAATGTTCTTGAGGACAGAGTCTATACATAATACATCTTAATGTAATATATCCTATAACATAGCATAGTGTCTAACAATACTAGGTCCTTAAAAACATGCATTAAAGTTAATTAATCATGCTTTAAAGAATACAAAGTACATTTAGAAAGCTAGCATAATTGAGTTGGAGTGAGCAGCTACATGCCTTAGTATTTCCCCAATTTTATTCTTTTTAATCTTAAACTGTATTCTGTATTCAAGTGTGACAAATGATTATTTTCAGGTCTGAAGTATAACAGAAGAGCTTGCAGCTCTACTGATAATAAATTGGGTCCAAATTTGTGTTGCAGGTTTAAATTAAATTACTTCATTAGGCATTTCTACTGTGACCAGTCCAGAAAGCACCGTAGCAAATTAAGGTCTGAATGCAATGTGAATGCTGATATAGATCTATAAATGTGTAAGAAGATAGTTTAGGTCTGGTCTGTTCCAGTGGCAATCCTGCCTTAAACAGGTGTAAGTGTGCCTAGGCAAAGAAATAAAAATAGAGGCCAAATCATAAGAGAAAGAAAGGATTCTATTCCTATTTAAAAAAGCTTTTCTCTGCTCAGGCTAATAGAACCCTTTACACAAAGGCCACAGAGAAGTAGGGCAGTTTCTTCAGACTCAGAGTGGAAGAGATCTAACAAATCAGGTCACTCAGTCCTCTCTTTTTACAAGAGGAAACCGAAGACCACAGAGGAGAATGATTTCCCTAAGGTGTCAGAGCTGGAAGTGCCAAAGCAGGAAGTGGAGTGGGGAGAAAAACAAGGACGGGACTGCTAATGGGGGCTCTGAGTCCTTCGCTTTCCACTTCCTCGATCTTCCTCCCAGCCCACCCAGTCTGGGCATGGACACCCCTAAGTGCTCATCAAAAACACACTTTTGTTCATGAAGTATATTTTCCTTCTTCTTCCCTCTACTTGTAATAACTTTTTTCCCTTCAGTTGAAGCCAAATTCTTTCTTACCCAACAACCTTGCTTTAAACATTACCTCTTATCTCTGCTTACTGAAAGGAAAGATTGCTTACATCTCTGGTTCCAGTGTTTGATAACAAGCTTGAGATTCTTATCACACGATACTGGTTATGTGTGTGTGTGTGTCTGCTCCACATCCCAGACAGGGGCCTCCTAAAGGGCATCACACCCCTCACTTAGCCTTGTATCGCCAACACAGAATAAGTGCTGGGTAAATGCTTGTTTAATTACACTCAGAGGAGGATAAGTTTCTGAACAATACAGTATTAAAAATCAAATCGCAGACAAAATAGTTTTGTGATGGCTGTCTTACTGAATCCATCCTTTTTTTTTCCCTTACCAGGGATCGAACTCAGAACTTTTCGGCATGCTGCCACTGAGCTAAATCCCCAGCCCCTGAATCCATTCTTCTTTTTTTTTTTTTGGTACCGGTGATCGAACTCGGGTCCTTGCACTTGCGCAGCAGGCGACAAAACCACTGAACTAAATCCCCGGCCCTCCCTGAATCCATTCTTATCAAAAGTCCTATCCTTAAATATGCTCAGGGACTTACCAGTAGTAGATCAATCAGGTAACAGATGTTAACTGTTAAGTGAAAGAGAAAAATGGAAAGCTTAATGCTATAATTATCATGTGGGAAATTTAGGAGTAGCACCTTGCAGTAAAAAAAAGGCCATGTGGTGTGAAACTATTACATGAAGAGGGAAACTGAAAGATACAGTTCCTATTATTTGTAATGAAGTCTAAGATTGTACAAGCAAATTGTAATAGCTGTAAAAAACTGTCCCACTGCATAAACTCACAGAACTTTTTCAAAAATTACATTTTCTATAATACATAGGTAGCCTTTTTTTTTTTTTTTGGTACCAGGGATCGAACTTGGGACCTTGAATTTGTGAGGCAGGCAGCAGAACCACTGAGCTAAACCCCCAGGCCTATAGGTAGCCTTTTTAAGAAAAAGATTTATATATTACAGTTGCATCCTAAAAGTATGTTTAAATACTTATGCCAATACTATGTGTGTATTATAAACACTAAAAAATGATTTTAGAAGAGAATAGTAACTATAAAAGTTTACTGTTTTCATAGTGGGGTCACAAAGTAATAAATCTAGATTTGGAAGTGTAGAAATTGGCTGGAAAGTATTCCAGAAGTTGTCTTATCTTATAGTTATATCCTGTTTTTGATCAAAACGGTCTTATTCACAAAATACCTCAAAGGTAAAACTGTTCTTTGATCAAGGCTAGTTGGAGTCCTATATGCCTCACTTATCTGTATGTCAAGTTCTTTTCCCCTGTTTGGGAAGTTTTGTGTCATCACTTCTGTGGACAGTTTTTTAAGTCATCTGCACTCTCTCCTGTTTTTTCATTGACTCTGATGGGTCTTATGTTATTCTTCTTTGCATCATCTAGCAGCTGCTGGATTGATTTCTCATAGTCCCTTACTATTTTAAAGAAATTTTTATTTTCCTGGTCATTAACTGCAATCTTATCTTCTATATCTGAAATTCTGTCCTTACATTGGCTCATTCTGCTGCATAGACTTTCAATGGAGTTTTTAATCTCCTGGAAATCTGTTTGCATCTGTTTTATGGATTCAATTTGTTTCCTATGTTGGGATTCCATCATGTTCCTCAGATCCTATTTTTTTTATCTGTGTCCGCTCTAGTTTTATTAATCATGTCTTGCACTATGGGCATAATCTTTGCTGTTATCTGAGAAATTATTTCTGATTTCATTTTTCCCAGATCCTCTTTTGTTGCCAGTTCAGGGAGTCCAGGTGGTTGAGTATCAGAGTGTTCCATCTGGTTTCCCTTTGAGGTTGCTGTAGGTGATCTGGAAGTCTGGTTTTGAGGCTTGTTTACGTGGCTTCTCATTTTGATGGGGGTGGGGGAGGGGGCTGGTGGCGCCCTGGCTCACCTCCTCCGCACTGGGGGAGGTGGTGCGGTGGCCGGGATAGTTCGCCTCCTCTGCGCTGACAGTGGTGGTGCCAGTAAAACTATTCTTGTCCCTATTCACCAAATTTGGCTTCAAACAACTTCAGGCTTGAACCTGAATTCATTCTCAAAGGAAGAGAATTTGCCAACCTTATGACTATTCAACAGGCCAGCTCCAGGCTTTGAAAGTAACTCTGAAAGAATATAAAAAAGATTTTGTGTAATTGCAGCACAATTGAAAAAGTTCTTGGGTTCCTTTGTTGATGACTTTTAAACAGATAACATTCACATGGTTTGTAAACAGTTACATTACTTTATAGAAACACACTGTTCTCGTATAGAGACAACTATGGTATTAAAAGTTGAAATTTATGAATGACCACTGTGGAAATTAAAATGTAAAGCTGCAAGTGAAAACACTCACTTTTCTACTATAAGGTTTGAGCACAGATAAATACAGAAGTACACAAAGCAGTACATGTGTTTGAAAATATAGCAAAAAGTATCAGTGCTCAATTGGCAGTTAATCTTGTGTTCTATAGAACATTTAAAATCTTTTTCTTTCCTGGAAATACATTTAAAAAATTTTTTAATTAGTATATGTTTTCAGAACATAATGATCAATACATGTGATGTGGGGAACTGGTACATGTACATAATACATCTTAATTCCTTTTATATCCTCTCCCATGTCACCCCACTTTCTCTATCTTTTGGCTTCTTTCCCAATACCAAAAGGGGCATTAGAAATCTTTCCAATGTTGGAATTATAGAATAGATATGAGTCTTAGTTTTATAGTTGAGAAAATAGTCCTATAAATAGAAAGTTACTCAGGGATGCATAGACATTTAATAGGGAGTACTTTGTCTTCTGCATCCTTGCTTTTCCTAAACCTAGTGAATTCGTATGATTAATGATTTTAACAGGCTGGTTCACATTACACCACCTCACTCTGAATTTTGGTATCAATACTTTAACACTATTATGACCCTGGCCAAATCACTGTGTCTCTGTTGCACATAAAATGTAATGGAAATACTACCTACTTTGTTATATGTATATATGTAAAATCATGGGGCATAGTGTCTAATGCATAGCGGTGATATTACTTCACCTCATTCGAGCTTTGATATATTTTCTAAAGCTACCTATATCTTGTTTGAAAAAAGATCAAATCTCAGAAGAAAATATTCCTTTCTTCTATTTCATTTTTCTCATTGGCAAAGGCTTTATCTTTTTCATCCTGTGATCTCCACGATACTCTGCCTGGTTCCCAATGCACAAAACTACTGAATAAATGTTGATTGAACACAGGATCAAATCTTGCTGGTCATTACCAGCTGTCAAGTACTGCCTTTTTGCTTAGCTTATTATAGATTAGACTATGATTAGAGGTCTGATATCACATGATTTCAGAACTTGAGAAAAGGTGTGATTTCTTTGTAAGTTCTCAGAAAAGATTCTTTGGAGTGTGAGAAATCTACCAATTTTATTTCAAAACTAATCCAACTTTCTATAGTATGGAACTTCGTTATTAAAGCAGGAAGGGAGGGTAGGAAGAAAAGCAACATGTTCTTTAAAAAAAAGAAACATGTTCTTGACAGTTCATATAGGCTCTTGGAAGACCACATTATATACTGTGTAAAGCATTCAGCACAATATTTAAAGATTAAATAGATCAAGTGAGGTGCTATTTTCCAGTGAATTATAGAAACAATACAATTACAATAAAGGTGTTATGATAAATTAGAGGATTTTTATTGCTATTGACATATAGCAACTCAATTCATAATACAGTTTTTACAGCTTTATGTTCTAGGAAGTTCAAAATAGTTTGTAGGGTCATGAAATAACTTTTGCAGATAATAATCCTTAATAGTAAATGGGACAAAAATTGGCATGTTTCTGAGGTTCAGTTTTAAGTCACTGCGCAAGGTGCAAGACACAATTTGAAAATTCTAGAGGGTAACAAGCATGGATCCAATCATATACCTGATACATAAATACTTTAAGGTACTTCCAATATGCACACAAAGATTAATAAATCAATTAGGTAAGAACAGGCACATTGCCACCCATCTTACTGCCTTACTTCTATGACAAGACAAGGAACAACCTAGAAAGACAAGAGGAATCTTCTAGGACAGAAGAGGAAGATCCTATAGGTTTATGGTAAATTAGCACTATTTTCTTTCATTTTTCAAAATAACAGTATTATTTCCAACTCTTTTTCCAATTTTGTTCTCTATCTCCCTACTCATTTCTCTATCTTCACATTTCCATTCCTCCACCTTTTTCTTCTCTTTTTAATAGGTCTCACCAGCATCGTGGCCTTTATTTAGTTGCTCAGAGGCCTGAGGTTTGCCATCTCATCTGATTGGAGGAAACATCAGGACTAGAAAAAGGGACAGAAGAGATTAGGAAATGAATCAATAACATCGATCCACTAAGAATCAACCTTGCTATTTAAACTAGGAGTCTACTTTGGTAAGGTTATCAGCGAGTTGGAAAACTTGGAATATGAGGATTATGCCTGCCATTTATTGAGCTCACCCATGGTGTGCAGTCAAGTGCTGTGGGATCAAACCCAGTCGTCACGACACCCTCCTGAGGTGCTTCACTGCATCACACTCAAACTATGAAACAGCCATGTGTGACACAGCCATGTTCTGGTCAGTGACAGACTGCTTATATGACAGTGGTCCCGTGAAACTAGAGCTGCGTGGTGATGACACAGTCATTGTACAGCAATAGCACGGTGCATTACTCACATGATGCTGAGGCAAGCAAGCTCACTGTACTGCCAGTCATATAAAACACAGCTCATGCAACAATGTATACTACATCATACTTGATAACAAATTAACAGCTACACACATTTACTATACTATATACTCTTTGTTAGTTTTGAATGCACACTTGCTTATAAAAGTTTATTGTAAAACCACGGCACCAGCAGCAGCCTCATGCATCATATGTGCCGAGTCTCTGGACTGTATCACATGTGCTTGATTCTCTTACTGCTTTGTTCATCATGACCCAGCAGCTATGCCATTATACTATATGTGTGTGTATCTATACACTGACACACACATGCACACATCCACATACAGGAGCCTAGGTATGCAGTAAACTATACCACCTAGGTCTGTGTGAGTACATGCTTTGTCCACACCATGACAAAATCAATGACCCAATTCTCAAAATGTATTCCCATCATGAAGCAGTGTGTGACTTAATGTATAACTGGAAAGTGGATGTTGTAGGGAAAAGTAAATCAACAAAACACTTGATTTTGACCTTAAATGATAATAAGGAACATGAAACCTTGGGGAGTAGTTACCTTTGAGATAAGAAAATAGTAAGATGGGAAACAGGAGAAAGGCCTTTACTTTTCACTTTGTATGGGTCTATATTCTTTTAATTTTCAAATCTTATACATGTATGGGTTTAAAAATGTTAACACAGGCAGTAAATTTATAGTTTGATTCTGTCATTTCAAAATCCAGTGATAAATATTATATGTAAAATATAAGAGGTTGTAGAAAAAAAGTACCTAAATACCACAGCCTGAGTTACCTTTCACACTGTGATTTGGGGAATTTTTAAAATCTTAAGTATAAATGTAAAATTCAGCAGACATTTATTATGCAATAAAGTACACAACACTGATCTGCTCTTAAGGTGTTTATGTTTTGTTTTGTTTTTTTTGGTACCGGGAATCGAACTCTGGACCTTGCACTTGCACGGCAGGCACTGGAACCACTGAGCTAAATCCCCGGCCCCTCTTAAGGTGTTTATAATCTTGTTTCTTTTGCTACCTGAAAGCCTGTTCTCTTGAATCTACAACACACATATATGTCTTGCTGGTTGGAATGTAAAATGTTGCTGTTACTTTTTGTTTGTTTGTTTTTGGTACCTGGGATTGAACTCGGGACCTTGCGCTTGCAAGGCAGGTGGTGGAACCACTGAGCTAAATCCCTGGCCCTGTTGGTATTACTTTTGAAAGAAGTTTAGTAGTTCCTCAAAAATTTAAACACAGATTTATCATATGACCCGGCAATTCCACTCTAGGCATATACTCAAAAGAAATAAAAGCATGTGGGGAAGAATTGCAGGTAAACATTTACAGCATTACTTCTAATAGCCAAAAAATGAACACAACCTAAATGTCGAAGAGATGAATTAAATAAAATGTTGTATATTTATACAACTGCATTCTGTTCAGGAATAAGAAGGAATGAACTATCACCACTTGCTACTTCATAGATGAACTTCAAACTGTGATACAAACTCCGAGAAGGCAGAGACAATTCCACTTACTGTATGATTCCATTTACACATGATCCCAAACTTAGGATCGTTCAACCTATGATTTTTCTACTTTATGGTGGTGCAAAAACAATATATACTCAGTAGAAACCACTCTACTTTGAGTTTTGATCTTTTCCAAGACTATGCCATGTGGTATGACACTGTCTCCGAATGCTGGACAACAGGAGTGAGCCACAGGCCCCAGCCAGCCATGCAGTCATGACTAACTCCAAAGTGAGTCATGCTGATTAGCTAAGGACTCCGTAGGCAGGGTGTATTACACACATTTCCAATTTAGAATATCTTCACCTGCCTGGAGCTGAGGCTGGGGAAGGAATGAGGATTAGGTATGAATGTGTCAGAGTGAACTCATAGGAAGGGTGGAAATGCTCTAAAGTGGGATTATGGTGATGGCACACTTACTGAGAGTTATTTAATTGTACACTAGAAATGGGAAATTGTATGACATGTAAAATATACCTCAATAAAGCTGTTAAAAATTTTGTGCGCCTGGGAACACTGTGCCCAAACAAATACAGGAAGCTCTGACACATGTGGAGTGACCAGTGACAGCCTGTAAACCAGTCTATCTTGGCTTCCCTTCTAAGGGTGAATAATCACCCTATGTTGAGGTAAAAACAGTTCCTTCTCTTCAAGAAGAAAGAAGGACTCATTAATTTGGGTGTGGAAGAGTCTCTCCCCAGGACCTTCATTTGCTTTCACTTGAAAATGTGTGAAGTGCTTAAAGCTGAGCATTAAAAGAAGTAGAAAATCGTCGAAGCACAGTTCTGTTAGAGTTTAGCAAATGGAAAAAAGTAGTTTAAAGTGGAGGGTCAGCAGAGAAAAGTTCAGTGCCAGGAAACAGGATATGAAAATCCATAAAATCCATGGATCATGGATAAAGTATTGGATGACAGATATGGTAATAGCCAGTCAGTAATATTTAAATAAACTGTAAGGTCATAAAACAGTTATGACACGAGAGCTTTTTGCATGTGGTAGAGAACAACATGCTGTGTTTGATTTGTGGAAATGTTTGGATGCTATCAGAAGACTCCTCCAGGTCATGTTATAGGAGGTTATTGCATACTTTTGTAAGATTCTTAGCCACCCCCCACCCCTTTTTTGGTGGTACTGGGGTTTGAACTCAAGGTCTTTGTACGGAGCTACATTCCCAATCCCCTTCTTAAAAAATTCTGACTTTGAAACAAAATCTCTAGTTGTTAAATGGCCCATGCTGGGCTTGAACTTGCAGTTCTCCTGCCTCGGCCTCCCAGAGTGCGGGAATACAGGTGTTTACCACCATACCTTGTTCCAGGCTAAGCCTTCTGAATTTTGACAATTTTGTTTGATTACATTTTATGTTATCCTCTCACCTACTCTGCATAGCATGTCCCGGACTCTTAACAAAGCTAACACAGCTGCAGTTTATGGAAAGCTGACAATATGTGAGGCATTAAGCGAAATGCATTTCTTACATTTCCCATTTAAACTTCAAATTGAGCCCATGTACAATAGATGATGAAACTGAGTCTTAGATATGCTCAGTAATTTGTCAGGGTCAGAACTCTAGCAGACAGAAACCCCAGAATTCACATCCTAGATTCCTAGAGCCTGCTTAGATTAACAACTTCATGAACTGACTTGATAACTCAGCAATTTTCAGCAATTAATTCAGCCATGGAGCTTATTTGGTTGATTATATTTCTTTAAAAAAAAACTTTCAAAGCAGCCAAATGTGGTGGCATGTACCCCAAATCCCAGCTACTTGGGAGGATGAGGCAGGAGGATTTAAATTTGAAGCCAGTCTGGGAAATCCAGCAAAATAAAATATAAGAAGGGCTGAGGCTGTAGCTCAGTGGTAGAATGCACCTGGGTTCAATTTTCAGTACTGCAAAACAAAAACTTTCCAAAATAGAACACACTATTTATTTTTCTCTCTTTTCAAACACTGCCACTGATCATTGTACTTTAATGTAATTGTTATATTTTCTTATATGCTGTATATAATTTTCTCTTCCTATCTCAAAGTTTATACTAGAAAAAACTGGGTCTGTCAGATTTGATGATTTGAAAATTAAAATACACACACACGCACACACGCACACACACTGTGTGAGGATGGAAAGATAATATATAACAGATTCTTTTGCTACATGGGAACTTTCAAAGTTCAGTGTTAAGCAAACGCTAGAGAAATCAAGTTATACTTATTATTAATTTGCTTTTCTTGCTTCCAATTCCTAACTCATTATCATGATTGTCAATTACTCCTAACATGTCCTTCACAAAGACAGTGTAATACCTTCTTTCACTGCAGGCAACTTATTTTTATTTGAGTTCACTATTTAAAGCAAAGCTGTATACCTAAAGCGATTACTGACAATACCAGAGAGCTACCATTTATTGATAACACCAGAGCTTCCTTTTAAGGTAGTATGTTATGCATACCACCCTTTCCTTCTTCTTACATTTGAATAAATTTCTAGAATTCTTATGCCCCAAATTATTAAAGTTTAAATGTTAAAAATTCAAATTGCATTAGAAATGTACATTACATGCACTGTAATTCATTATTTGGAATATGAATCACGGTAACTTTTGCTGAGAAATATATCAGCATTAGTTTCAGGTATTTATTGAAATCCATTAAAGGCTACCTGGCCCTTACTAAATCAGATCTATATGAAATTTTAAGAAATAAAAGTCTGTTTTGTAAAATGTATGTCAAAAACAGGTTATGCTAGAACTGTCTATGTAATAGTACATAAAATTCTGAGTGAAAGAGGTAATAAAAGTGGAGCAAATTAGGATCTGAAACAGAAATATACATCTAAATTACTTATTCTTGGTCAGAAAAGGAATTAATTGTTTTTTGTGTTTTGGTTTTTTTTGGTACCAGGGGTCGAACTCAGGACCTTGAGCTTGCGAGGCAGGAGGCTGCACCACTGAGCTAAATCCGTGGTCCGCACTGTATTTTTTAATCAATATGCAATTCAGTGAGGGAGAATTTGCAGCTTTACTTTCTAGCACAAAGATGAATGCATAAGTCATAGCTCTTGGGTAAGTGAATGTACCTAAAAATAGCTGACAGAAAATTTGACTAAGAAATGGCAAATTCCATCCCCCACCCCGACCTGTCAAGCTGAATCTATCTGATCTATCAGCTATGAGCATCCTATATATCTATGTTAAGGGGTTGGGGCCTCAGCCTCTAGCTTACCGACAGAAGGTTATTGAAAGTGACTATTGGGCCCGTTGAGAACTTTGGTAAGAAAAAAATGTGACCAGAGTTTACCAACTATTTAGGGGACAGAAGCCCAATAAAATCTAGTCGTTAGCATATATACTGATGTATGTTAACAACTCATAACAGTACTTTCTACACACTAAAGCTTCCACAAACATGAATTGTTAAATTATCACAATAGCAGCAGCTAAATTCCACAGGACTGAGGACATAGGTACAACTCAAGCACTGACAAAGAAGAGATGTTTGTGCCCAACAATAAAGGGAGGCTTTAAAAGAAGGAAAAGCTGAATTGATTTCTAGAGGTATGAGAGAAAGGAAAGAGGGAACTGCTAGAGAAGAAGAATAGAGGCGAGAAGGAAGATAGACGGCTCACACGGCCCTCCCCTTGGCACACTGCTTATCTGGGCTGCAACTTACCTCTTTTGCTGTGAGTTTTGTAAGAAGTATTTATGTTTCATTTTATAAGAATAATCATAATTATACACATTTACAGGGCATGGTGGATGTTTTGATATATGTATACAACACTGAATGGATAAATGAAGTTAATTAACATTAAGTACCTTGCTTACCTATCATTTATGATGAGACATTTGGAAATTACTCTTGTTTTGAAATATGCATTATTACTGACTATAAGTATATTTATACTGCTTTGCCAGAAATCTCAAACTTATTCCTCCCATCTATCTGAAACATACCTTTCAACAATTCCCAATTTCTTCCTTCTCCATCATTCTACTCTGTTTCTGCGAGATCAACTTGTTTAGATTCCACATATACATGAAATCATGTGGTACTTGTCTTTCTGTGCCTGGCTTATTTTACTTAGCATGGTGTCCTGAGTGGTCCCCCAACCTGTTTGGCATTAGGGACTGGTATGGAAAACAATTTTTCCCGAGCCTGGGTAGGGTGGGGAGGGGGGAAATGATGATGGTGGGATGGTTTGGGGATTGGATTCTCATAAGGAGAGCACAACCTAGAGCCCTCACAGGCGCAGTTCACAGCAGCGTTATTTCTCCTATGAGAATCTAATGCTGCCTCTGATCTGACAGGAGGTCAAGCTCTGGCAGTAAGGAGAGGCTACAAATGCAGATGAAGTCTCCCCAGCCAGCCACTCACCTCCAGTTGTGAGCCCCAACCCCGCTTTCCTGACAGGCCCTGCTCAGGTGCCTGTGCCCTGTTACCAGTCCAGGGTTCACAGCTTGGGGACTTCTGTCACATTAGGATTTCCTTCTTAAGGCCTAGTAGTATATATGTACAGCATTTTCCATTGGTAGTGCTGCATATTACTTCTTTAAGTATAGTGTTGCTACTATGACTGTTTGGCTGTAAAATATGTACATGTAGCCAGGCACGGTGGTGTCCACCTATAAGCCCTATAATTGAGAGGCTGAGGCAGCAGAAGCGCAAGTTTGAGTCTAGCCAGGGTAACTTACCTAGATTCTGTCTTAAAATAAATTTTTAAAAAGGGCTGCAGATCTATCTCAGCATTACAGTGCTCGATTAGCATGCATGGGGCACTGAGTTCAAGCCCCAAAGCCTAACAACAATGACAAAAAAGTGTACATGCTTAAGAGTGTTAGAATCAACGTGTATGTCCAGATCATTAAGGACCTTAAGATCTTGGCTGAGGAGGCTTGTTTTAGAGAAGGCCATGGGAGCCACCAGATTCTGGAGCAGAGGACAGGGATAAATTATCACGCAGTGGTTGAAGGTGGCTTTAGAAGATCTGAGTTTGAGCTGCTTTCTTATTAATCATATGAGTCTGCTTAGCTGCTTCAATTCTCAGAACTTCAATGTTTTTATCTTGGAAATGGAGATAAGGACAGTGCCTATCTCATTTTGTGCACAGGCAGGCAATGATGAGCACATTCCCTGTCACATGGCAATCATCCTCAATAAATGCCAGCCACTGTTACCTAGGAGAAGACCCAGGGGACACAGTTAGAGGTGGGAGGAATAATCCATTCTAATACACTTAGAAGAAATGTATGGTGGGACACCTGGTGAGTGTAGTGATAATTAATCCAAGGGATGATGTTCAAAACAGAAGTTAGGCTGAGTTTCTAAGCATAAAAATTTGGCAACCTGAATGATTTAAATATGGAATTATCATACTACTCTATCGCTGTGATAATATCATCTCTTAAAATTACTCTTATTATAAAAAAATTACTCTTACTATGATACCAGAACACAGAACTCGGTCTGAGATCTTAGACTGAATCAGAAGTGATTTAGTAGACTTAGAAAATACTAGTTGGTAGGGAAAAAACAAAAAGAATCTCAAAAAACCTTAGGAGTTTACCAAACACTAACAAATAGGTAAATATCTTAACTGTGAAAAGATTTTATAGGCCAAACTTTTTACAGTATCTTGTCTTTGTTTAATGTGGCAATCAGTGGTCACCAATGTCCCTGGAAGTACAGCACTATATGTTTGTGCCTCCTTATCCCCACCCTGCTCTTGGAGCTCCAAATGGGCACATCCCAAATCATTTACCCTTGTGTTGCTCACCGTTATTGAACAAGTAGGTATTGAAGTCTCTGTTGAACTAAGATGAAACTGGACTTTCCAACTAAAGTGCTGTGTGGGGGGCCTTTAGCTTTAAAGTGGTTAGGTTTATTTTCCACAAATCTATTTCCCAGCATCTGAGTTTTAAATTAATAAGACTTGTCTAAGTGCTACAGTAGATTTTTCAGTCAATCACAACTATCTCCTTCATTGAGTATCCAGAAAATGAAACATGAAGATTTCAAAGCTTAGTAAATATTAGGTAGATTTGAATCATTATGTTTTGTGTAAGTGAAGCCAAGACTCCCTTGGGAGGGTCCTGGACTAGGAATTCTAAGATTTGGGTTCTAGCCTTACATGCTCCTCATTTTCAACGTCTATGATGCGGTGAAACATTACCCACATTGCCTCTTTTTCAGAGAAATAAGATTACAATGGCTGAGGACGCAGCTCTGCAGTGGTAGAGCTCTTGTTTAGCATAGGAAATGGATGCTATTCGTTAGTTCATTTTTTCTTAGATTTGAATTATTATTATAAAGTTGGATGAGAAAACTGAAACGTTTTGAGAGGCTTTACTTACAGCAATTTTTTCTCTGTCCTAACGAGTAAAAAATGTCAGCTTAAATTGGCATTTCTGGGAGGGCAAAGGAAAGAGCAGCTAAGGAAGGCAGAGACCCAGATATGGTCAGTCTTGAAACCATAAATCAAAGCAGCTAATAAAGCTCTTCTTCCAAAACTTCAGCACAAACTGGAACTGATACACACCCGGAGTCTGCTTTCATACATAGTCCTTATGTGGAACAAGGCTATGGTTTTTAAAAACTGACAAAATGATGAACCACGGAGATTGAGTCTTTGCTACAAAAAGAATTTAGCATCTTTTCATACTAGCACCAATATAACATTTTAGGTACCGCGACTACTTGACACCATATAATAAAATTGGGCTTAAATATTTTCTTTAGATATTTATCTTACTATCACTTAATGTTGCAGTGATATATTAATGATCCTTTCTTTTTTAAAAGAATCGTGTATTGGAATAACAATAATCAAATAATCACATATCTGTATTTAAAAACTCAAAATACCATACTATAGGAGAAGAAAAAGAAGTTTCATGCCAGAAAGTTAATTTTTGTGATAAAAATATTTGGTTTTTTTAAAACCAAGAGTTTGTAGGTCTAATAATGTGCAAATTGTATTACACACATAAGTGTTTTAAGATAGCCACAACCCCAAAAGCAAAGTATTTCCTTCTCCTGTGCATTGATTGTGCCCCTCCAATCCCACCGCTTTATCTCCTCTTTCTAAAGTAATCAGTTTGTGTTAAAAAGTCAACCAAAGGCCGCAGGGGGCGGTGTTCTTCGACCATAAAGACATTCCCTCTTTCGATCAATTCCAAATTTTCCTCTACTTTTCCTCACCCGCGGGGAAACTGAAAATAAAGGACCGGGAAAACACCCACAAGCTCTGGATCAAACAAAACAAGCATCCCTGTGAGGGTGAAGACTGCGTGACGTCTCCTAACCAGAGACGGTCGGGGCTCCGGACCTCACCGTGGGTCACCGGAGTGCGTCGGCGCGGTGTCAGGACCGGCTGGGCTCTGCAGTCCCCGACCCGCTCGGGAGTGAGAACAGCCATAGCGCCTTCGGGCCGAGAGGTCACGGCCCAGACTGAGCCGCAGGGGTCCCGCCGCGCGCAGGCCCGGGGTCGGCCCACGGCAGGGCAGGGACCTGAACTGGGCCGAAGCGGTCCGGCCGAGCCTGCGGAGAGCACTTACTGGGCCGCGCCGGCTCTGCTCTCCCTTTTCCCTGGCGCCTTCGCGGACTTGGCATCGTCCACATCTTGCTGCAGCTCGGTCATCGGGGCCGCCTCCGGACGCCGCCTTCAGACCCCGGCCCGGCTCCTTGGCGCAGCCAGCCCGGCGGGCGGGACCGGGACACGGGACGGACGCGGGACACGGAACCAGGACACGCACACGGCACCGGGACACGTCGGAGCCGCGCGCGGAGGCGGGACGGGGAGGTCCCGGGCGGGAGGGACGGCCTCCAACCCCGACCCACCGCCGCGGAAGAGGGGAACCTGTCCGACCGGTCTCTGCGGGAGAGGAAACTGGCCCAGCAGGGACATCTGCCTGCGGGGGCGCGGGCGGGCTCCTCTCACCGTCGCCGGGGTCCGAGGAGCTCCGGGGCCTGAGGCGGCGGCAGAGCCTCTCGCACAGCCGCAGCGCGCCAACCCGACCCGCGCCCGGCCTAAATTATTCAAACAGGATGTTGCCTCATCGGGGACGGCCTCTGCGCCTAAACAATAGACCCCTCAGTAGTTGCCTTAGAGCTCGGCTGCTTCTAAGGCTGAGGGGCGGGTTGGGGAGCAAGTGAAGCTGTTGCCAAAAATCTCTTATGCACCAGTACTTACCGGGCACGCTCAGACGGTGAATGCCCCTTTCCCTTCCTTTTGGAGAGGTTTTGACTTCCTAGTTCGGTCTGAGATTTGCATTTGAAGGATCCACTCATTCAACAAATTTTTGAAAGCCATATATTCCAAGCACAGTTCTAAGCAATGACTTATTACAGCAAATAACATTTGTGTTTACTATGAGTTTACTGTAGAGTAGTTGAGAATAGGAATAACTAATATAAAGCCTTGTGGGAACCCTAACTTTAAAACAGTTACAAGTGCCAATAGTGGAAAGTTGCATGCATGGAATGAAATAGTTAACTGTTCTGGTGCTGCAAGTTCTTCATTTTAAAAATTAATTTTCGATTTAGTAATATTACAATATATATGATGTGATACGGTGCGTGTGTGTGAGTGTGTGTGTGTGTGTGCGCGTGTGTGTGTATAAAACATTTCCCCTTCCAAATAACCTCCAATATTTTGGAGTTTCAAGTCCTACCAAATTTGTGTTACAGACTTTCCACCACTAGCTTATGTTGTTAGGCTGGGAGAATAGAAGCATCTTTTTGTATTCTAATGCTCCCAAATTGAAAGAAAAAGGTTTACATCAATTCCATAGGAGTTGGCCTAGCCCACCTTTTTTTTCTTCTTTCTCAGGGAGCTGAGTTGGGTGGGGAAAGCTTTGTGTAACTAGAGGGCTTGGAGGCTGCCTCTTTGGTATCCACAGCTATGTCTTCCAGGGCACACTTCTGACACCTTCACTTCCACATACCTTCTCTACCACCCCCAGCGCACGCACACACACACTGGGGACAGAAGAGCTCTTGGAATATTGGAATACAGAAGAGGTTCTCAATCTCCCAAACTTTGGGTAGTTATATATCCTCAAAGCTCAGGTGCCTTTCAAGTACCACTAAGCTCAGACCTGACTTTTTTCCTTCAAAGTTGTGTTTGTGTGCATGTGCATGCATATGTGTGTGTTTGTGTTTGTGTGTGACAGTGTCTTGCTGCCAGGCCAGGCTTGAAATTGCTGTGTAGCCCAGACTGTCTTCAAACTCATAATCCTTTTGCCTTAGCCTTCTGAGTGCTGGGATTACACCATTATTGGCAAAGTAATTTTTCTATTGTGTTAAAATATACATAATAGTTAACCATTGGTAAGCATACAATTCAGTGGCATTGAATACATTTGGAATATTGTATAATCATCACCACTCCAATTTTTTATCCCTAATATAAACTACCATTAAATAGTAAGCCCATAAAGCAATGACATCCTACTCCTCCCAGGCCCCTAGTCATTTCTATTCTACTTTCTGTCTCAATAAATTTGTCTATTCTACATGCCTTGTTCCACTTATGTGGAATCATACACTAATTCCTTCTGTGTCTGGTTATTACTCAGCATAATATTTTCAATGTTCATCTATGTTGTAGCATATATCAAAGTTCCATCTGCTGTTTGGCTGAATAATATTTCATGCTGTGTATATGGTGTATACCACATTTTATTTATTCATTCATTTCTTGATGAACATTTGGGTTATTCACCTGTCTTCTGTTGTGAATGATGCTGCTATGGGCTTTGGTGTACACATATCTGTTCTGGGCCCTGTTTTCATTTCTTTTGGATACATAATTTAGAGACTTCCTGGATCACATGGTATGCTATGTTTAACTTTTTGAAAAACCTTGGCCAGGCCTCTAGGCGCATGATTAAGGTCAAGTATTTGGAGTAGCCCCATTGTACAGAGGCTTACACCTCAATTAAGGAGTGCACAGATGCCACAGAATTCATTTGTTAGTGTATGGGATGAGGATTTCCTCTGTGGTCTTAAGTGAGGAAGAGCAAGGGGAAATTATGGAGATGGGGAGAGGTTTCCGTGGTGGGAAAAACAGCAAAAGAAGCAAATAAACTACATTCGTGGTATTTGCTTTAATTTAAAAGACATTGTCAAACAGCTGCCTAATTTATTTACTCTTGGGGCTATTATACAATAAAATAGAGTACTATATTTGAAAGGCAGCAGCAATCAAATAAAGGGGAAATTTCAATTTGGTGTAACAAAATAGAGACAGATTATGTCTAAAACATATTTTAGGAGGCTCTTTGAGTTTGTACCAAAAAGAGACACATTACTTTCTTCCTCCAAGCCTCTGGGAATCTGAATTCTTATTCCTAATATCAAAGGAGAATTCTAGTTTGTACTTTTCCAGTTATTGAAACAGCTTTGGTAGAAGACATTTATCCCATTATTTTTATGAAGGTGAGAACTTCTATTCAAGCAGCTTAGAATATTGATCAAATGTTGGCATTTTTCAAAAATACTGGTCAGATACACTGTGCATCTGTCCACAGTCTCAGGGACAGAGTTCAAGTGAGTTTGGAAATTTGAGTGGAGACTTGGTTGTAATGCATAGCCAAATAGTTGCCTAATTTATAACACAAGGCAGGGTAGGTATTTATTACTCAATATAAGTATGCAAAAATGTATGCTTGTAATTTCATGTTAATGTCTGATGACATATTTTTGAAGGCATTAATGAATTTATCAAGATGAAGCCAGGAAGTTCTGTAATAATTTAACAGTGCATGATATTTCATAATCAAAGAATTCCAGGAACACTTATCAGATGATTCCTGTTATTAATTAAGGTCAATTATCCAAAGGAGAAAATGGGAAAAAAAAGAGTTCAGAAGAGACCTATAAAATGTCACTGAAAAGCTTAATTCTAGGGCTTTAAAGAAAAAAGCTGTAAGATTAAAAGTTGAGAAACTTTACTTGAAGGGGTACCATTAATGAATGATTTATGTCAAATACGAAGGACCTAATGAATAAAACCATTAAATATTGGAATGGGAATCGATAGATGGAATCACCTAATATGGAGACTTTTGAAAATAAGACTGTTAAAAAAATCGACAGAATGATTTTAAACAGTATTCCTCAAATCAAGTGATAGAACATATTTGGAAATTTGAAATACTCTACTTCTCTTAAAGCTTAGCACTGTGTTGAGAGGAACAGGCAAGATGGTAAGCGTTCACTGGAGGGGTTAGAAGACGATTGGGAAACACCAGCGTAAATCTGAGTCAGTGAAAAACCAGAAGCAATAAAAAGACCCTTCCAGTTCAGCACTCTAAAATAAATGATGCTACATCAAAATCTACCCCAAAGTTATAAAATATGTATCTATTTTCTATATGGTCAGTGTTAAATATTACAACTTGGGAAGGGGAAGGCCTCTGAGATCGATCATCCAGTACAGTGGTTTGGACATGGGTTATGGAGCCCACTGAGGGGGACCCAGCTCTTAGACTTGGGTCTTCTGATTGCAGTGCCGCCTTTCTCCTCCCCTGAAGTGTGGTCTTTCCTGCTTTTGTGAGGACTCTTCCACTTTGATTTTTTCATATATTTGTGCTATCTTAATTTCTTAGGGGGAAAGGGAAAGTGTTGACTACCACACTCTAAACAAACAATAATCAGATCCCCCTTGTGTTTCAGAGGAGAACTTGAGCTTCCTGAGTTTAGTGACTTTGTCAGAATTATAGCAGTCCCAAGAGGATGAAGACACAGCTTTGCTGACTTTTAGTGGAATGTTTGTGGGCCTGTAGGAGTGAGGAATGCGAAGCACATTATGTTAATGGCAGAGACAAATGCTTTGTAGAAGAGTATGTTGGAGGAAAGGCCCAATAAGGGGTCTTCCAGTGTGAATATGTTTGTGGGGAAAGAAATGTTTGAATCTTGAGTAGTGTGTGGGGAGCTGTATTTTGCAGCTTTCTGCTCTTCATAATTAACCTAAAACTTGGTTGTAATAATTATTATTTTTCATGGTTCTATGAACTGACTGGACTCAGCTGACTGTCACTTGCTGTCTCTTAAGCAGTGGCAGGCAGATAGGGCTCAGGATTGGTTGGCATCATTTGAAAACTCACCTGAGCTAGATATGCAAGGTGACATTTTCACTTCTCAGTCTGGGGCTTCAGCTGAGATGCTTGGAAGAACTGAGTCTGTGTCTCTCTGTGTGGCACTGCACAGGAGTAACTTTGGCTTCCTTACAGTATGGTGGTCCTTATCCCACTGGATATTTTTATTTGTTGGGAGGCTTTCTTCAGACCTTACATCTCACATTGCCAAGGTGGAATCTATGAGTTTCTACGAGATAGCACTAGTAGTAGCATGTAGTTTCACCTATACTGCATTTTATTGCTCAAAGGCAACCGAGCCAAGATTCAAGCTGAGAGAA